GAGCCTCCACCCTCACACACACCCCTGCAGGGACAGCCTCCCCCGGGGGGAGTGAGTGAGGAGAATGGGGATGGAACAGGGTGGGGGCAGGCACGCTAGGTGGGAAGGAGCAGCAGTGCAGTCATGAGACCTCCTCAGTGCTGCCAGCTCCCAGTTTCCTCCTCACAGTGATGTGATTTTTGGCCTCTGTTGCAGTCGGTTTCCTGATGATGCAAGAAACTCTCCAGCCTTTCTGGGAATTTCAGCCTGGCACACGGGAAGACCCTTCTGGTTGGCTGCCTTTCCACCTCCTGGGGACGAGCAGCCAATCAAGGCTGCTGCAAAGGCAGCTGGAGCTCCTCCCCTCCTCTCCAGAGCTGTGTCTGGGTGATGGAGGGGCAGGGGGAGCAGCCAACAACATCCTTGCAGGAGGGGAAGGAATGAAAAGAGTCCCCCTCCCTCCCCCATCCTTGCAGCTGGGAAGGGTGAAGAGGAGCGGCCTGGGAGAGGGTGTGAAGAACCCCTGGTACTAGAGGAGGAGCAGAGGTTGGGGTTGGAGAGCACAGAATTAATGCATGAGAATGGGGGAGAAGCTCTGGAGACACCTCTGAGTCCCATCCCTCCCTCCCCCCCCCAGCAGCAGACCCACCTTTCACTGGAACCTGCCCAGAAAGGCAGGAGCTGTGCACTGCAGCTGCTGAGCGTGAGCAGCAGGAGTAGTGCAGAGGGAGGAGATGTCTGCGGGCTCTGGCACCGGAAATCCCCGTGGGTTACAGCTGCAGCGATGCTAACCCCCTGGGCACAGCCAGAGCTGCTGCTTCAGCAAGACAAGCTGTGGGGGGGGGTCTCCACCAAGGCTGGGGAAATGAAGCAGTAAGACTGGTGCCATCAGGATCGGGGCAGGAGACATTGCCTGGATCCAGTCTGGAGCAGCTGCAACCAGCGTGGGCATCTGCCCTGAATCCAGAGTCACTCCAGTCTGGGATCAAGGATCTTTCACCGTAGGAGAAAATCGTGTTTCCCGCCCATGGGCTCCTCCTGCTGTAACTGCAGTGACTTTTCAGGTGAGTGCGGGGTTGCTGTGCCGAGTGGAGAGGCTCAAACATCCGCCCAGTTTGGTGTTTGTAAAGGTAAATTGGGCCATCTCTGTGCTTCAGCGTGATGCGGGGAGGGGCAGCATGTGGGGGAACATCCCCACATTGGATGTGACGTTTGCCGGAGCCTTCGCTGTTCATAGTGTGATGGCAGAATCCCCAGGGAGCCCTGACAGCTCAGCCAGGGACTATGGAATGAGCTGCCTGGGAGCCATGCTTATCCCTCTGGTGTAGCGCCAGAGCCGGTGGGGCAGGGCTCTCTCCAGACAGTGTGGGCCCAGTGCTCCCAGCAGCCCTTCTGTTTTGCAGGTCTGGGGCATGTGCAAGGCACTGGTGCCATGTGGGGGCTTGTCGGGGCACTGGTCCTGTCACACCTGGTATCCCTGTTGTGGAATATTGTCTGCTGCGTGAGGCACACGGCACACAGAGGTAGGTGCTGCAGGGAGGGAACAGTCTGTTCAGAGCACAGGGGCACAGTTCCTCCCCCCCTTAACTATAACCCCTATGTGGGGCTCCTGTCCCCTGCTCCTCTGCCTCCCAGACTGTCTTGGTGCACAGGGGGTACTGGCTCCTGGGTCCCCCTCCCCATATATCTCCAGAAGGGGCTACTGCCTCCAGTCCCCTCTCCCCCTCTGCCTGTTTTGTGTCTTGCTGCAGAGGGCACCCTTTATCCCCCTCACTCCATGTCCCAGCCCCAACTCCTCCCTCTCCCCATCTCACTCCATAGGGAGCCCAGCTCCCCTTCTCCATGGCTCCCAGCCTGTCTCATGCCAGGCTCCCCCACCCAGAATCCCATCCCTCACTGACTCCCTCTCCTCCCATGTCCCTGCCTGCCACACCCAACTGGCACCACCAGCATCCCACAGATCTGTCCTCTCCCCACCCCCGTTACAGCCTGTGGGGCTGATCTTTTTCTTTCTCTCTCTGTCTCTCCCACCCTGCCTGCACAGATGAGTCCAGGAAGCTCTTGCCTCTGTTCAGCAGAAGGTGAGTCCAACAGAGGAAACAGCAGGAGCAAGGAGTCACTGCATTGTCCAAGCATCACCACTGAGGTCAGGGGAGGGGGGCAGCTTTGTCAGCCAGCGAGATGGAACAGAGGCAGAAAGAAGGGGGGAATGTCACAGGGAATCGGAACCAAGGACTAGACCCCAGGAGTCCTGACTGCCAGGCCTCCCCTCCTGCTCTCAACCCCTAGGTCCCACTCCCCTGCCAGAGCTGGCCCAGAAATCAGGGGTTCTGATTCCCCATCCTGCACATCACTACCCACTCAGCTCGCTCTGGCTGGACGGGCCCCTGGTTTGAATTAAGGGGATTGTTACAGACTGAGACCACATGAGCATTTTTTCCCTCTCTGAGTGTGTACCACCACCGCCACCTTTCCCCATCCTCCTCTTCCTCTGCCAGTCCCCTGCGCGTTCACCTTTGACCCTGGCTCTGAGCCATTTACTGGATTTTTGGTTTCCATCCCAGTGTGAAGCATGTGACTGAGGAGATTCCAGTCTATGGAAACATCAGTTACCTGCAGACAGGTGAGTAGCACCCGGGCCCCTCACAGGATCAGGCCCCATTGTGCTGAGGATGCCCGGTCTCTGCCCTGAATAAAAGGGCACACGTGTGCACTCACACACACAGTGTGTGTGGAAGGGAGATAATTCTGTCACCTGTTCTATGACATTACTGGTCGAGTCCCCAGCTGGCAGCAGGCATGTCAGCATCATCAATGCTGATTTGCATCTGCTGGGAGCCTGGCTCTTGGCTCTAAGAAGGGCCATTCATGGTCTGGTTTCTTAAGCAGCTTTGTCCATATATGCAAGGAGGCAGCAGCCCCCCTCCGTCCCCCCCCCATCCTGAGGTCCCTGC